GGCTGGCTGTTGTCATCCACTTGGAGATAAAGCCCAGCCACTGACATCGTCAGGCCAGCTTGTAGACTCCGTTCTGCTGGGTTACAAACTGCCCCCCGACCTGTGTATTCACCAGCCTTCCTGAAAACACGGCCCCTAAAAGGAGGGGCCTCGTGCCTTAGAAATATACCTGCTTGTCAGGGAGTCAAAGAATAATTTTAAGCTTTTAAAAAAAAAAATAGGAACATTTTCTGTACTGATCACAACAATAGTAAAGGAATGAAATAGTTATTGAACACCTACTCTGTGCAAAGTAACACAGCAGTGCGGATGTGGCGAGGCGCAGGGGGTCTTCCCTGCAGTCAGCGAGCGTCCCTCTGCGATCCCTCACGGACTCGGCACAGAGGCCTCATTGAGTGAGCCCTGTTGATGTCCTTTGTTGTCTCTCGGATCCTCGGAACCACCTTGCGAGGTCCGGGTTACCCTGAGTGTGCAGGAGGGAAACTGAGGCTCAGCACAGTGATGTGATTTCACCCAAGGCCCCTCTCAGCAGTTTGCCTCATCACTTGCTTTATTTGCAGAGAAAATAAAAGCTATCAGACAAGAGCTCCTGCAGCTGCTGCGGTGTCCTCATCTCTCCTGTGGCCGAGGCGTCCCTCCCCGCTCCCCAGGTTCCAGCCTGCCCGCCTGCCCCAGCTCTGCAGAAACCTTACACTCTCTTTCTCTCCCTCCCTGCCCCCACCCCTTCCCCCCTTCCCCGCCCCCCTTGGCATCTTGATCCTCTCCCTCTCTGCAGATCCCTTCCAGCAGTGTCGACACACTCGGCTCTCCCCTCCTTTAGAAACCACCTCTCTCCTTCTCTTTCCCCTGCCTTCTCTCCTTTTCTTCACAGCCAAAATTCTCCAAAAGATTATGGAGACTTAGCTGTCTCCATATTCCCTCTCACCCTTTCTTCAGCCTCTTCCAGCAGACTGCCTCCCTCCGCCCCAGCAGGTGTGCTAACGAGTAGCCTACATTTCTCGGTGCTCATCTTAGTTGACTGCTCAGCAGCATCGGACACTGCTGGCCACTCCTCCCCTTTTGAAATACTCTCTTCTGGGGCTTCCATGACACCTCACTCCACCCCTGTGGCTGTTCTTTCTCAGCTCCCCTTCCAGTTCAGCCTCTTCTGGGCCGCCACTAAGTGTTCCTCAAGTCCCTGTCCTGTGTCCTCTTGCCCCTTGCTCACACCCACAGCCTCGACTCTTCTAAGTGCCAGACACGTACATGAGCTCTCTTCTCCCTGATGTCTCCACTTGATACGTCTCAGACTCACCGTGCCCAGCCCCTCCTCACCACCCGCAAAGCTGGTCCTCATCTCATGAATAGCTCCCATGTCCCAGGGTGTCAAGCAGACACCTGGGTGACATCCGGTTTCACGGATCCTGTCAGATTGACCTTTTAAACGTCTCTCCTCCATCTGTCGTCATAAGCACCTTAGTCCCTGGATCTCTGTAAGACTCTCCTGCCTCGCCTCTTCTCCTCTCTCGTTCATTTGCTTCAATGTTTCAGTGGCTTTCCATCGCTCTTAGGATAAAGGCCAGAATCCTCAGCACAGTCCTGCTTGATGTGGCCCCTGCATGCCTCGCTCCTCTCATCTTCAGAGTTATAGAAACCTTTCGGCTTTCTTTCAGTTTATCAGATATTCTCTGTTCTTCCCCCTCAGGCTCCTCCACTACCTCCCACTTCCTGACAGCTGACCTGTCACTTTGCAGACTCTGCCCGCTCCCGCCCACCCCCACCCTCAGCCAGAGCGGTGCCAGGCACATGGCAGGCATTTGGAACCATCCGTTAGTGTATGGCCCAAAGGCCATACAGTGGGTGACAGGCAGAACTCGGACGCCAGAATGACCCGCGCCATCCGTGGCCACGTGGCAGCCAGCGCCTGCCTCCGCCCTGCTCGCCCAGAGTTCTGAGAGCCGTGTGCACTGCTGCGAGGCAGCTTTGTGACTTTAGCCAAGTCACTGGGTTAAATGCCTAAATGAGAAGGTAGAATTGAAAATTTTGCATGATCCAGAATTGTCAGGTAGAAGGTGTTAGAGTTATGTTTTATTACCCTTTGAAAGACATTAAATAAACTTGTTAAATGGACATTAAATAAACTTGTTAAATGAGAACACGTTTAAACTACAGAACACAAGTCAGCATAGAAAACCTTTTTTTTCTAACTTGACTATGTCTGAGTTTAACTTCCTTTTCTTTCTCAAAGGGTTCAGAATCACCCATGATGATTGGCGAGTTAAGAAGTGACCTTGACGATGTCGATCCCTAGAGGAACATGCCAGCACACGAGGAGAAGTCACATCCAGCTCCTGCACGCTCAGCACCTTTGTGAAATCAGACTCTCATCCTTGAACCCTTTGGAGGAGCCGGGAAGCTGGAGCGGGGGAGCCTGCTGTGACGGGAGCAGCAGCGTTTTTAAGGAAAGTGCCCTCAGGGCTGCTGGGGAGCGCGCCAGCAGTGGGAGGCTCGGGCCTGTGCGGCAGCCGCCCCAGAACACGGTCCATATGTGGATTAACATTTTGGTGGAGATTTTAGGAAATAAAGCTGGTGGCAGACTTTTTTGTTACATGAACATGCAGGAGTGAGTGCGGGTAGGGCTGTTGCTTTCTCTACGATGCTACAGAAGAATTCCTTTGGTTTTTATATTTAAAAAAAAGAAGCAAACTGCCTTTAGATGTGTGGGGGCAAGTTTTTAATCGTGCAGTAACTTTGAATAGATGATGTAAAGACGTGATGGTTCCTCCGCGCTGGAAAGAGCGGCTGAGGCAGCTGACAGACCTTTGTATTTGATATGTCTCCCTGTTTGCGCAGCTCAGATGGTCTGGGTGAGAGCCCTGTGCATCAGCTCGGACCTTGATGAGATGTGACCTGGATCACAAATTGGGAAATGATTAAGCTCTTTAAGGTATTTTCCTGATATCATTGGGATTGAAAAGAGCAATAAAAAAAATGCTGTGTCCTCCCGAAGTACAGGGTGCACTTTGACGCCAGTCACTAAGGAAGTTTTGAGTTGTCCCCAAAACAAATTTTAAAAACAGCAAAATAAAAGGCACTTTAAAATATAATTTTATTGAGTTTGACTTCATAAAATCTTCTTTTTAACGCGTGGAGACATATTGAATAAACTGTAGTCTTAAATCATGTGATCTGCAATCATTTGCTTTTGCTTAAACGCACTTACCGAAACCCTTGGGGCTGGTTGTGTGAAGGTCAGTATTTGAGTCGGAGACACTGCTGTGAGTTCTTAGTAACTGTAATGCAGAGAGGGAATTGGAGACTGTTTCTCCTCCACGTGACTAATGAACACTGAAAAGACAGGGACGAGATCGATTTTCCCAGCGATAACTAGAAGGCAGTTGAACCGCCATCCATTTAGTTGTATTTCCCCCTTAGAAACCCATTCCCTGACTGCAGGTTACATTCTAGCTCCCCTTTTTTTGGTGGGGGGAGGAGATATGCCAACATATTTCATATGTTTTGTACATTTTGTATTTTGAGTTGCTACCCACATTTTCAACCCTCTTTTTGGTGTTCTGCCTTATTTTCAATTCACTACGCCCAGAACCAGGGAGCCTCGGGAGGTGCCAGGTTGCCATTGTTGGCTGGAATTGCCAAGTCAGAGGGGCTCAGCCGGCCCCACAGAGCCCCGTTGGTTGTTCCTGCGTTGAGCAGCACGTGACAGGCAGCTTGTCGTCGTGTGTGTGTCAGTCGCCTGGTCATTTCCCTGTTGAACTGTTGAAGTCTCCATGCGGCAGGCTTCGGTTTGTAATCGTGTAACCTACCTGGGGCTGGTGGTGGCCTTTGTCAGAGACGCCGAGGAGGTGCGGGGCCGGCATTTGAGAGCAGCGCTGTGGCCTCAGAGAAGTGCTCAGGGGCAGCTGGCAAATTTTATCTGGTTCTGATGTTTTTGCAGTTTTGAATGTGATGTTTTAAAATTGCTTTTGAGTCCATGAATACTCCACGTCCTCCTGTTCTCCCCACCCCATGTTCACCCCTCTCTCCACCCCCATCCTCCCAGAACGATTGTATGGGGCTTGACATTGACATGCTGGCGATGGTACGTGTTGGGGCGACATCGCCGGTGACTACACTCTTGGGAGCCCAAATTCAAGAGTGGAATTGCTACTTGTAGTCCCCTTATTTCCTATGGAAACAGCACCTTCCACACCCCCGGCACCTGCTCTCCTCCCCGTGGAGCTTCATCCGATCGCCCGGCACTCGTGTGTCACGTGCTCTGGTTGATTGTGCTGACGTGGTTGCTGCGATGAACATCCCTTTCCCTTTGCCAGTAACCACGTGATTTCCAACGGCTGCAGTCTGGACCTGCTGATGACTTTTTTTTAAAGTAGTACAACAAAGTGACAATTATGACAGGCTTACCTTGGAAGAGTTGTCATTTTTACTGCCAATTTTTTGGATGAAGATGTTTTTATAAATCCTTCAAAGTGGTCTGCACGTCAAGGAGGAGTTGCACAACTAACCGAGGGCTGTGTGTTCTCGAGAAGCTCCGTCCTGAGGCCCCTGGGATGGCCGAGCGCCTCCCAGCAGGCGGCCTGCCCAGGACCCCTCCCTCCCGGAGGCCTTGCCTGCTCACTGAGGGCGCAACAAACGGGAGGGCCCCGGAGCCCCACAGCAGACCCCCACGCCCTCCCGCTGAGCCCCCGGTGCAGGAGCCGCCTCAGGAGTCGGGCGAGCAGACTGGAATTGCCCTCTGCTACCTCTTGTGTACAAAACCTTGTTTATAAAATTTCCAAAGGAAGTGGATAAATTAGGGAAGTATCTTCATTCTAAATTTGGTTCATGAGTGGCAGAGTTCTTAGCTTCTAAGGGTATAAAATAAATTTTTCAAAAATGTGGAGTTGGAGTCTCCCGACATTTTTCTGCGTGTATCAGAAAGCAGCCGTGGGGTCCGCGTCCTGGGGGGAAGTGATGCTGCGATGCTGCCGCGTGAATAAGGTCCCCTCTCCAAGTTTGCTGTTCTTCCCTCTGGGTAACGTGACCATTTCAGGATTCATTTGCAAAGCCTGGAAAATGGTGCCGAGTTCAGCACCATTGATGGCCTACAGACGTCTCCCCCTTAGCTTCCGCATCCCCCAAGTGGCCCCCGGCGTGAAGCATGTCCCTGGCCAAGCTGGGTTTCTTGCTGGACCCCGGGGGTCTCAGTCTCACCCCTGAGGTCCTGTGTTGGTGCACGTGGCTCCCTTTCCCGGGATGTTGCTGGTCCTGTGGCCGACACCCACCTCTCCCCCGCTCCAGGCGACCACCTGCCAACATCTGCAGGGACCAAGTTGTTCCCTTCTCGAAGTCACAGTGCCGCGGGCGTGGAGCTCTCACAGCCCAACGCTTGACAGCGCCGTCCCGGGGGTGGAGGAGGGGCGGCGTCCAGCGCCGCACAGCAGGCGAGGTGGGTGGGCACAGGTGCGCACGCTGTCTTCCCTGGCCCTCGGGCATTGGTGTCTGGCGGCTCTGGAACGCTTTCCATGATGCTATGTTGTCAGAAAATAGTTTGGGAGGGTTTTTGCCGTTGTAGGCAGATTCTCGCACCATTTATGATATGGGCTGTGTAGAGAGAGGCCTTGCTCAGGAGAGCTACACTCGCCAGCCTCAGAGCGGGGCTGGGAGGACCCACCGAGAGCCGGATCGTTGTACTTGGCCAACTGGAAAGTTCTAAGCCTGTTCTTAATTTCCCATCATGAGAAATGATCATGGACATAGTGCTGACCCATTACAGAAGCCTTGGGCACTCACACAACTGATTGCCTAAACGCTGACTCTGTGCCAGGCACCAGGGAGCGGAGAACGAAAAGAGCTGGGGCCCAGAGCTCAGTGGTGGGCGTGGACGACAGTGTCCAGAAGGCTGTAGGCACAAGGTACCAGGGAGGGGACCCTGGCTGCTTGGGGGCCTCTGGGAAGCTGCGGGGAGACACTGACCTATCCTAGGACAGGGACCAGGCCTTATCAGGTACTTGATTTCTTCAACCATTCGGGTGCTGGTACAAGCAAGGCATCATGCTGGACAAAGGCAGGCAAGTCATGACAGTTGTTTTTATTTTAAAAAGTCACCATATGATAAAAACACTACCAAACCCAGAATAAATATCTGCAAGTTACAAAAGCAAAACAGAGGTCTGGAAAAGCTCATTGCAATAAAAAGGCAAGCGAGAGAGCTGTTTACAAACCCAGACCGAAAAGATAAATGCATGCCTGTTTGTTTGCATGGGGCGGGGGGAGCTCGAGGAGGGGGAGTTGCCCCCCATCCCTCGGAGGGCGTCTCCACCTGGGTCACGCTGGATCAGCCAGTGCCCCCACCCCGTGCTCTGTCCTCAGTCACCTCGCGTCTGTGCGCCGAATCTGGGCTCATGTCCTGGCACCACCTCACTTTCCGTGTGAGCTTGGCAGGCACGCCCCCTCTCTGGTTCCCAGTTTCTCCCTCCCTAAAGCAGGGATGACAACATGTCCCGTGTGGGGTGGGCTCAAGGCCTGGGTGAGAGAAGGTGTATGGCCAGCATGGAGCCCTCCACTGCAGACTGAAGTCAGCCCGGGGGTGATGTCTCCCTGCCAGGAGCAGGCCGAGGGCAGCTGAGAGAAACAAAGGCACAGCCCAGATCACTGGGACCTGTCTCCAGCCTCTAGCTGGATCTCTCATGCTGCTGCTGGGGGCCCAGGGGTGGGTTCAGGAGCTAGGAATTTTATCAGTGAAAGCTGTCTTCCAGGAGGTGAGTCCTAACACAGGACTGGGAGGGCCCAAGGAGACCATGGACTGATGGAGAACTCTCCAGAGAAAGCAAGGACTTGAACCAAGGTCTCTTGGCAGCTGACCAGGGGCTCATTCTTCTGGCCTCAATGTCCTTATCTATCCAATGGATAGGCCAGGCCCTGCCCTTGTAACAGGGCTGCTCTGAAACTCTGAGGATGCCGGTGGAGAAGCACTCTGGGCATTGTGAAGCATTGGCAGGATCTGGGGAAGCATCCCGTCAGTGCCTACCCTCCACCCTGCACCCCTAGAGGCATGGAAAACTGGTCTTCCGTTAATCAGGAGCCCAAAGGGGCCCCCCAAGTGGGCAGGAAGTGAGGGGCCTCTCTGCCTTTCACACTCCCTTCCCCTGACTGATGCTTGGCCCCTGCCAGCCCTCAAGGTCCCCCTTGCTTCCCCACGTGAGGACTGTTACCCCTCGTGGAGGCCGGGGACTGCCTGCCTGATGTGGAGCAGAGGCTCAGAAAGGTCATTCTGCCCCCAAGTGTTGGCATCTTGGGAGCCGCTTGCAGGAAGCAGGGCATGGCTTGACCAGTGTTAATGGCCGAGTGCTAGGCACAGCCCTGCAGGGAGGGAGGGGCTGCCCAGTGCCTGCAGCCCTGCCACACCCAGCCTCCCTCAGCTCAGGCCTGGGAGGGGCTGAGAGAGCAGGTTGCCCCGGGCAGGGAGCGCTGCCCACCCCCAGCACCAGCAGCCTGTCCCCTGGGGCCCGGGCTGAGGACCCGGAAAGAAGGAGCCATTTCAAAGCTCAGACAAGACCTGGAACCCCAGCACCCGGGCCCGGCCCCCTTCCCTGTGCGTGCGTCCCCAGGGCTGTCACTGGGACTCCCAGGGGGCCTGCTCCGCTGAGGGCCAGCTCCTGCAGCAGATGGCCCTCACTGTCGCCACCTCCTCCCCGGTGCCACCTCCTGTGCCGGCGTCCCAACTTCTCACCACACACGTGTCATCCACTGGGTAGGCCCCCAGGGTGCGGAGGGCCCCGGGGAGGACCCCACAGCCGGTCAGGGTCCAGCCCTCCTCACAGGCCACGGTGACCTGCTGGGGCCAGGGGACAAGAAAGCAAGTGTACAGCACGCAGGCTGTGAGCCAGGCCTGCGGGCCCAGGCGACGTCCACCTCCTCCCTAGTGCCAAACTCCTCCTCTTCCCCCAACACCCGTGCCCCATGCCTCCCCTCGGTCAGTGCAGCACCACCTATCCGGGAGCTCAGCAGGGACCGTGGCATCACCTGCCCCTCCTCTCGCCGCATCCAGCCCGTCAGACCCATGGGCTCCCCCTGCAGATTCCAGGACCCTCCATGCTGCCCTCTGGGCGGAGCCCTCACCACCTGGGCCTGGACCCTCACAGGAGCTGCCCAGTGGTCTCCCTGCTGCTGCCCGTGCCCCCCGCAGTCTCCTCTCCAATCAGCGTCGAGAAGGAGCCTGGTCAAATCCGAGTCAGATCACGGCCCCCCAGGCTCAGAACCCTGCACAGCTCCCACTCACTCGAGCAAAAGCCAAAGTCCTTACTGTGGCCCTCAGGCCCCACCTGACCGGGCCCTGTCCTCTCTCGGTTCCCCCACCCATTCGGTTCCACCTCACTGGCCTCCTGTCTGTTCCCGGTGCTCTCCAGGCCCGCCCCCACTCAGGGTCTTTGCCCTGGCTGTCCCTTCTGCCCGGAACACTGTTCCCTGGGATGTCCCCCACCTTCTCAGTGAGGCCCCTCCTGAGCACCCGCCCGCTCCCTTTCCTGCTGTTCTTCTCCGTGGCGTCCTCTAAGTCCTCTGTGAGACTGCTCCTCTGTGGACTGTCCTCCCACAGGGGTGGGCGCTCCAGGAGAGGAGAGCTTGCGGGGTCTGCATCCCCAAGGCCTGCGATGGTGCTGGAAGGCCGCAGCCCCCCACACCCGCCGCGCGAGCCCAGCAGAACCACGCCCCCCACCCCCACCCCGCCCGGCACCGCGCCATCCCCACCACGGTCCGCAGTCCTGGGCGTTAAACCCTCTGAGTTCCTGCGAGCGACTCCCGGCTTCCCGGCCCGGCCCCAGCGGCCCTTCAAGGAGCCTCGCGGAGCAGCTGTCCCTGCGGGTTGCCCTCAGCCGGCCGGTGGCCTCGCCCGTCTCGCAGGTCCCTCCTCCTCCTCCTGCCGCACTAGCCCAGGCGTCCCCTCCTCCGGGTCGTGACCAGCCCTCCCTGTGCTCCGCTGTCGCCGCGCGTCCTCCGCGGGGGCGCAGGGCCGGGGGCCGCTCACCGGCCCCCGAGGACACGCACCCGCGGCCACACAGCCCTGACGGCTGCCGACAGACGCCGCCACCCCCAGGCCACCCCCGATGCGCGCGGGTGTGGCGGCGACACAGACGCCGGCGCCGGCACCGACACACGCCCCGGGCGCCAGGCGCCACCCCCCGCCCGCCCTCTTCACCTCTTCGGGGCCGCACCGCGCGCTCCCGGACTCGGCCCTCCAGCCCCTCCGGCCCCCGGGCGCGGCAGCAGGAAGCGTGCACGCTGGCCTCCTTGCGGCCCACACACGGGGCGCGCTGACCTCGCGGCGCTGCCGCAGGCCGCCCGGGGTGCCTGGGTCCTCCGCCTCCCCGTCGGAGCCTGCTCAGATGCTGGAAGGCCGGGAGAGCCTCTGTCTCTCCTCCCCGCCCCCGTCAGACTCCATCTCTCTAGGATCTGAGGCCAGAGCTGGGAAACCCGGAACAAGGTAAGGCAGGGAAGAGATGCCGGCATGAGCAACAGGATTCCTGGGTTCTCAACTCAACTCTGCTGCTGACATGCTGGGTGACCTTGGGAGAGCCACTCAACCTCTCTGAATCTTACTTTCTCAAGGAAAACATTGTGTCCTCTGCACCCAAAGATGGGGAGCACTGAGATGGGCTCTAAGGGCTGAGATGCTAGAGGAGGAGCCGGATCACCCCCAGACCCCTCCCGCCCAGCCAGCTGGGTGGAAGTGCAGGGGTGAACTTGATGTCTGTCTGGGGCTCTCAGGGCCTCCCTCCATAGGTTTGTGAGTCAGACACCCCGGCTATGAGACCATGGAGAGTGGTTACTCAGCTAGGCCAAGCCTCAGTTTCCCTGTGTGTAAAAGGCAAGCACACCTGCCCACAGGGAGGCTGTGTGCCAGCCCAGCGCCGGCACAGGGCACGTGCTGCGCTGTCGGGGATCACGGTTCCCGGAATCCCCTGTGTCCTGGCTGTGGGGCCTGGGGGAAGTCGCTCAGCACACCCGGGTGCAGTTCCCTGCACTGTGGAAGGGGCCTATCCAGACGCCTACACGGACATGGAGCTGTGCGGCCGCGGGCTGCAGACCGGCATGGACCCCAAGCTTGTCTTGCCGCACGCCCCCAAAGGGGAGAGTGACCGGAACACGACGGACCCCCACCAAGCCAGGCCCCCACAGAGCACGGCCGGCGCTGTCGGACCTGCTCGAGCCTCCGCCCTGGCCCAGGGCACCAGCCAGCTGATGGGCTCGTCCTTCCACTGCAAACTCAGCCTGCACACCTTGCAGCTGGCTCTTCCCGCAGCCGGGTCCTAACTTGTCGCCCTCCTGCTCCTAAACCTTCAGGGGCTCCCAGTACATGTTCGATGGAGGACCCGCTCTTGAGTCAGCTATGCCAGGCCCGTCGCCCGCCATCTCTCCAGACTCTCCCCAGTACGGCCCATGCTCCATCCAAGCAGGATGGCTCAGCCTCCTCCCAACCTGAGGGGCACCCTCCCTGGACCCCCAACAAGGACCCCATCTGTGACTCCCTGCTACATGCCCAGAGTGTGCTTTTGACACAAGCTGGCCCATCCACAGTTATCCTACATCAGAGAGTGGATTTTAAAGCAATGAGTGATGCTGATGATAATGACAGCATTTATATTGTCCCAGAGCCATGCTGGGAGCTTAGCACCCATCATCCCCATTTTACTGATGAGGAACCTGAGGCACAGAGAGGTTAAGTAACTTCCCCGGGTCACACAGCTGTTGACTGGCACAGCCAGGATTAAACCAAGGTCAGCTCCACTTTCAGACGCAGCCTCTGAGCCACTGCCTGAACGGGCTCTCCTGCACTGTGCTGCCTGTTGGGAAGTGCCTGCCATGCTCCAGGCCTGGTGTTCCTAGTCTTACTCATTTCATGGCAACCCAGTGAGGCAGGTACTACCACCCTCCCTCTTAGGGAGGAGGAAGCGGGGCTGAGAGAGGAGAGGTTGCCTGCCCAGCTCGAGCGTGGCAGTCGGACTCCAGCACTGGAACAGCCGGGTGGGGCAGGATGCCTGCTCCCTGGGGGGGCCCCACCTCCCACATGTGAGGACATGGCCCTGCTGCTGGCAGCGGGCATGGGTCTCCATCCCGGCCTGGGCTGGCGGAGCCGTGTGGATGCTGCAGTTGGCCCGGGACAGCAGGCAGCACCTGGCAGTGGCGTAGACACCCTCACCCCCAAATGCGTTGTGGGCCAGGCAGACCCGCCTGCAGCCCTGGGTCTGAGAGACAGGACAGAAACGGGAGGCTGCTTCAGAGGGGCGCAGGGGCCACTCGGGCACCTGGTTCATGCCCTCAGCCCCTCCCCGTGTCCCTGCCCTGCCAGCCCCTTCTGGGGACCAGGAGCTCACTCCTGCCCAAGTCACACTGCTCCGCAGACGGGCAGCTCTTCCTGTGAGAATGTGCCTGGCGCTGAGAGTAGCTTCAAGTGCAGACCCGGAGCGCGGCCCCAGCCTGCTCAGCCACAGGGAACAGCCCCCCCACCCCCCCACCCCGACCCTCCGGCCTCGGCGGCCCTGCCACCAAAACGCCTGGCCAGACGGCATCTGTGCAACGCTGTGGCCTCAGCACCAATTCTCCTCTTTCGCTAGTTTGAGATTTCTCAGCCGCCGGTGCCACAGGTCGTCAGAGTGGGAAGCGCCCTGGAGCCCAGGGTCCAGAGGCGGCGCCCCCGGCACACACGCCGCCGCCCCGCCCCGCCCCGCCGGCAAGGGACCCCGTCGAGCCCGCAGAGTGTTCCGGGACCCCAGCGCGGCCTCTCCGGCAGCCCCCGCCGCGTACCATGAGAGGTGGCCCTCCCGCGCCAGCCCAGCCCCCGTGCAGGCGGGGGACAGAGGCTGACGGGCGTCACGGAGGGCTCGGCCTGATCCGGGCCTGGAAGCAGGCGCCCCCTTCAGGGCGGATGCTCGCGAAAGCGGCGGGTGCAGGTCACCTGGATGCGCTCGCCCCGCCGCCTCCCGCTCCCGGCGAGGCCGGAGCAGCCCAGCAGCTCCTCGTCCGCGGCGCAGCGGGCCAGGGTGCTGGCCGTGCGCAGGGACCCCGAGCGCGCCGACCACACGGTCCTGCAGAGCGGCTGCCCACCTGCGACAAGGCCGGGGTGAGCAGGGGCTGGGGAGGGCGCCTCCAGCAGGGCTGCGCTCACAGAGGGCTCGAGTCTCTCTGCCCGAGGCACGGGAGCCGGGCTGAAAGGACCCGATTCGTTCTCCGTTTGAGCGTGTTTAGAGGCCTGCGAAGCCCTCCCGGAGCGGAGCCGCCCCTTGGCCGTCTCCCGGGGGTGCAGGCGGCCTCCTTCCAGACGTGGGGCGCGGGGAGGAGGGGGGGAGGGGGGAAGGGAGGATGGAAAGAGGGGAGAAGGGAGGGGAAGGGAAGAGGGGGAAGCGGGGTAAGGGGGCCGCCCTGCTGATGTGCTCCTGGGGCATGGGGCGGCAGTGTGGCCACCAGGTTGGCGGGCAGCGCCTGCTGGTCCTTGGGGGACCAGGCCGCGTTGATGACGCCTCTGGCAGAAAAGCGGATGAGCCTCTGCCTCAGCTTGGCCAGGGGGAGCTCTGGCTCAGCGGTCAGCATCACAGCCACGATGCCTGGCGGCAGCCGGCAAACCATGAGATGTGGTGGCTGGCCCTCCTTCCCCCCAGGACTCCTCTCCTGGTGCACACACACATGCTCACACACGTTGCATGCACACGGACACAGCGCCCTGTTCCTCCTGAAGTTAAACTACCTGCAACTCCGGGCTCACTGAAAGCCACACAGTAAGACATCCTGCGTCCTGCACTCACATCTCTGGGCCTCGGCAGCTGCTGTTCTATTTGCCAGGTAAACTCCTATTCAGCCACCAAACCCCAGATCAAATGTCCCCACTCCAGGGAGGCCTCAGGCTGGCCAGGTGCCTCCCCTGGGTTCCCCTTGACACAGCCCTGCCTGCTCTGTGTTCCTTCTGTTTGTGCAATTGCCTCCCCATCAGACTGAGTGTCCTCGAGGGCACCATCATTGACTCATCTTTGGTCCCCCATGCTCAGCATAGAGCCTGGCACACAGGGTCCTGGTGCAGACCCTGCCTGCCAAAGGGGCTGTTCGAATCATGGGGGCTGAGGTGCCAGGGCGGCAACTCACCAGCCACGTGTGCCGTGGCCTGCGACGTCCCACTCTGCGAGGTGTAGCAGGTGCTGCAGTCACTGGAGGTGCCAATGATGTCATCCTCTGGGGCAAAGAGGTCCACACAGCAGCCAAAGTTGGTCCTCAGGACCCCCAGGTCACTGGCTGGTCCTGGGCACTGGTGGCCCCAACTGTGATGACCTGGGGAGGCGAGGGGGTGGGTGGCAGGTAGCGAAGGGCTGCAGGGACAGAGACTCTGCCAGCTGAGCTGGCCGACTGCTGTCTGCCGGGCAGATGTTTGAGTCCCATTCAAATATCCCCTCCGGAGGGAAACCTGACTCTACAGGTGGAACCCTGGCCCTGGGGCTACTTTCTGTCCCCGCCATATACATGCCAGGGACGGTCCCGAGGCCCCTGTGGGCTTGCATTCTAGTAGGGAGACAGGCAATAAACGAACAGTAGACCCTTCAGTGCATGGGGTGGCTCTCAGCGCTGCAGAGAACGCAGCAGGCGAGGTGGGCAGGCGTGCGGGCTCCAGTGACTTCATGTGATTTTAAATGCAGCAGCCGGGGAAGGCCATTCCCACCGGGCTCACGTCTGTGCCCTCCCTGCCCCCAAACCTCCCAGCCTGGGAAGTCCCTGACATTCCTTTCCCTTGGCACCCCCAGTGCCCAGAGAGCCTGACACCCAGTAGGTGCCCCACATGTGGCCGGAGGAACGGACAGCACAGCCTCGCCAAGCCATCAGCCCCTCCAGGCACACACACTGTCTCTGGGTTCACAGCCTGAACTGGCACTGCTGAGCGACCCTGGGCCTCGGCAGCTCAGGTGGTGCGGGGCTGGGGCCCATCATGCAGGGCCTGGGGGTGGACAGTGGGGAGGCCCTGAGGGTCCTGGGCAGGCGAGTGAGGTGGGCAGCTGTGAGTTTTAGGCCGAGCCCCTGGGGCCTTGTGGGGTGGCCTGGGGGAAGAAGCAGAGGGAGGGGGAGAGGTGAGAGCTGTGGGGTCAACCCAGGAGACAGCAGGATCCAGGACCAAGGTCACACGATGAGGAGAAGGGGCAGGGGGATTCAGGAGACATTCCAAGGGACGGTGGCCAGGGCATGGGATTGGCTGCATGGGGGGGTGGAGTGAGGACAGCAGTGCTCTCAAATGAGGACGGTGGCAGTTCAGGCTACCTCTCTGCCACCCAGGCTCCTGCACCAGGGTCCCCGACAACTCCTCCCAAAGCTTGCCCTCAGCCTCTGGGGACGGCACGACACCCGGCCCAGGAGCCTGCCTTCCCCTCCACTCTGGGGGCGCCTACCTCGGGAGCCGAGGCTGGCGTCGGGAGCCGAGGCTGGGGAGTAGAGGTAGGAGTCGTCGCAGAAGTTGCCGGCAGCGGCCACCAGCACCGCCCCAGTCCTCACCAGGCGCTGGCAGGCGGCATTGAAGGCCCAGCTGTACCCTCCTGCCAAGGGCAGCAGCATCACCAAGCGCCCAGTGGGCTAGGCCCACTGGCTCTTCCAAATGAACTCCAGACCTGAGGATAGAGCCAAGGCCACCCTGGGGAGCCACGCTCCCTCCCCCAGCCCCCTGGAGGCTGGTGCGGGGCTGGTCCGACGGTCAGCTTGGCCGGGCTGCGGGCTGGATGTTGGGCCACACGCCTGACTGCTGCTGTGAAGGCGTGTTGTAGGCGTGACTAGCACTTAAGTCAGGAGCCTGAGTAGAGCGGGGGGCGGGCCTTGTCCAACAGCTGAGGCCTCATGGGAAATGACTGAGGGCGTTTAAGGAGGATGGAATCTGTGTGCAGACGCCTTCAGACTCCAGACTGCGCCATCAGCTCCTGCCCTGCAGGTGGCAGCCCGCCCCAGTCCCTCGGAGAGCGCTCACCGGGTATACGGATACACGCACACGCCTCCTGTTGGTTTCATTGCTCTGGACACCCCTGAATGATGCGTGCGGGAAGCGTGTTAACCACCACAGCACTGCCACAACTGGCCGCAGCTGACCACGGCCACGCGCCAGGACCGCTGAGTGCCTGAACACAGGAGCTTGCGCACTCCTCACAACGACACTGCTATTGGTGGGACCAGGGTCACCTAATGGGCAGGGGTCACTGATGCTCCCTTTAAAACCAAACATCAAAGCCGGTACCCTGACCAGGAGAGAATCGAGGCAGAGCTCCCTCCCCAGGCACGAGGCCAGCGCCTGACCTCAGCCCTGCAACCAGACCCACGGCTCCTCGGCCAGCCCAGGGGCTGCATCCACACAGGGCCGGGGGCTCACAGGGGAGGGCAAGCTCAGTGCCAGCACCTTCCCCAGTGATGTCCTCAGCTCTAGCTGTGTGACCCTGAGCAAGTCACTTCCCCTCTCTGAGCTGGTTTTATCAACCGTTTAACAGGTATCACAATGCCAGCCTCAGGGTGTGGTGTACAAAGTCCTTCACTCAAGATCTGGCCACAGGAGGGATTCAGTAAGAGAAAGCTCCTGCCCTCCTCTGTCCAGCGGCCCCCAGGGTCCCGGCTCTCTGCCGGACCTCACCAGAGGCCCACTGGCTGGACTGGAGGGAGAAACCGGCAAGAGTCTGGCAAAGTCTCTGCCGGTGCCTCCACTGTGTGTACCCTGCTGGAGCGGCCTGTGGGGCCCGGTCAGCCATGGAAGAGAGTGGCTGCCAGGTGTAGAGGTGAGCAGGCCGAAGACCAGGAAGTGTGCTCAGCTCACCTCCGCAGGGGCCATCGGGATCCAGAATAGCATGACAGAAGACATACCATGTCAAAGTGTTTGAAAAGAGGAGCCACATGACCCTGTGGAAAAACCACTGACCCAGGGTCAAAGGTGCACGACCCCAGCTGCTGAGCCCCTGCCCCCTGTGGGCCTCGGTGTCTCCATCTGTGCTCGTGTCCTCAGGGCTCTGTGGCTCTGGGACAGAGGCCGCCTTGGCCACCTTGGTCAAGAAGCCGCCTCCCACTCGGGCCAGCGCCGCCACTCACCTGCGAGGACACCGCTCACCGTGCCCTTGCCCTGGCAGTTGAGCACGCGGAGGCTGGTGCCCTTGGCCACGCCAGCATCATGGCTGCTGACCACACCCGCCAGGTAGGTGCTGTGGCTGTCACACTTGTCCGCCTGCTCGACCAACACAAGGCCCGTGTGAGGAAGCCCACTGCCCAGCGATATATCAGCAAGTGCTGGATGGGCCGCCCCACCCCACAACTGATGGCAGGGAGGGGACAGTGACAGCTGTGGAACAGCAGGACAGCCGTACACTCTGGGGTGGCAGTCACCACCCATCTCAGGTTCAGGGGTGAGGGACGGGCAGCCCTCCTTGCCTGTCTGTGGAAGCGCGTCTCGTCCTCCTCAGGCACATTCTCGAAGTCGGTGACTGTGACCCTGCCCTCAACTTCCCGGTGGCCGCTGTGCATGCTGGTGTCCAGGAGGTACACCTCCACCGGGCCGGCTCCGTCCTTCCAGGGCGCGGCTTGTGGAGCGGAGAGAATAACCAGGAGGTGAATGTAATCCTTAAAACAAACAAGCCACCTGCCTTGTCCCAGGCCCTGCCCAGGCACTCAAATATATTAACGCCTTTAACCTTCAAAAACTCCTCTCAAGGGACGCCCTTTTGTATCTTTCTTTTACAGACAAGGGAAAAGAGAGAGGTAAGGAGCTGTCCTAGGTCACAGCGCTGGCAGTGGTAGAGTCAGGCAGAGAACCAAATCGTCTGGCTCCGTAATACTAATATTAATATGAAATAACAATATGCACATTCAAAAAATAATAAATATAATGGCATAAAATTGGCCAAGGCCCTATTTGTGACTTTTCACAGCTCCCCGAGCCTGAAAGGCAGGCACGACAAGATCTGAAGGACAACACATTCTTTAAAAGGAGTAATAGGAATGTCTGGCCCTCGGAGCTGCCAGCCCCTTTCACAGAGAGGACACTGAGGCTGGCAGGGGGCGCCGGGGCCTCCCGGCTCCAGGGCCACGCTTCCTCACCAGGGCCCAGGACTGCTCGCCTTGGCTGTTTCCAGCCCACCCAAGTTGCAGCCTCGGAGGAAACAGCAGCACTGGGAAGTCACCAGGAGCCCACCCCCACCCACCATCATTTGCAGTCGGTCAGTCCAGACTCTCCAAGAAGCAGGCACAGGGTGGGATGAGGCCTGCAGGAGACTTATGGGGGAGAGCAACAGAGGTGGAGGGAGCAGAAAGCAGGGGCGACACCTGTGGACAGAGTAGGGGAGGAAGGTCAGGGACGAAGAGCCCCAGACCCCAGAGCTGCTCTCGGAAAGTCCGGCCAGGCCGATGGGCCAGGGCCCAGGAGGGGGCCTCACCAGCAGGAACGAAGGGGTCGCTCAGTAACCGCCGGAGCACCCAGGAGATGCTGGCTGGACCCAAAGGGCGGCCTGGGGGCTGTCAGTCCCTCTGCTTGGGCAGCTGGCTCCACAGCCACTGCAGTAACCTCAGGAAATGTCCATATGCTCCCCTCAGGACAGAGGCGTGGCGGAGGCCGAGCGGGTGTCACCTCCCCGAGGCTGCCCCAGAAAAACAGCACCAACTCAGCAGACAGAACAGCAGAAGCTGAGCCTCACAGTTCCGGAGGCCCGGCGTCCTAAATCCAGGCATCGGCCGGACCACACGCCCCCCGAGGCTCCGGGGCACGATCCTTCCTGCCTCCTCCAGCTTCCAGCCAGCTTCCCTGACTTGGGTCTGCATCCCTCCCATCTGGACCTCGGCCTCATGGGGCCTTCCCTCCGTGTGTCTCGAATCTCCCTCTGCCTTTGTCTTATAAGGACACGTGTCATGGGGTCTAGAGCCCACTGCATAATCCGGATGATCTCATCTTACATCTGCAAAGACCTTCTTACCAAATAAGGTCACATTTGCAGGTTCTGGGTGGACGTATCTTTGGGGCCACCATTCAGCCCACTACAGAGCAGTTCAGTTGAGTGACAGCTCTGAGGCCAGGCCAGGCCAGCCCCCCGGCAGTGTCTTCCCTCCACACCATGTCACTTGTAAGGTGAAGAGCTAGAGCCGGTTTGAGCTGGTTTGAGCCGGCTGTCAGCCCGGCCTGTGGCCTGTGTGCACGCTGCCTGCCCTGCCCTGCCCCATGGCTTCCAGTCTCCGCAGGACCCTCCACTGCTCAGTCCCAGTGAGCACTTTGCTGCCTTCTGCATCCAGCGGACCGCAGCCCCTCCCGGGACGCAGGACAAGTGGAGCTGCTCGCTGCAACTCGGATCCCTCCCCAGCCTAGTATTAGTTTTTGTTCATCACTGAGCACCTATCACATGCCAGGTGCCACGCTGGGAAGAGGTGGGGTGAAGCGGGCTCTGAGCTCAGACCTGAGGACATCGGAGGCCAAAGGGCGCTGGCCACCCCAGAGGAACCACCAGATGGTGAGCCAGGCTGTGAAAGATTGAGGAGGCAGATGCATGATGAGGCCGGGGAGGTGGGCAGGGGCCAGATGGTGCAGGACCCATAAGCCACGCCCAGTGTGCTCCAAGCAGAAGCCCAGCTGGCTGCTGGGGACACAGACGCTCGGCAGCCAGTCCAGGGTCTGCCCTCCAGACAGGGTAAGAGGGATGTTTCTGCCTGTAGACGTTAACCGACACAGGCCACGCATCTAGGAGAGCGAGCCGGCGAGCTTCAGCCCGTGCTCCTCAGGCGCGTGGGGAGGAGGCTGAGGAGGCCGTCGTGTCAACCCAGGCGAGAGTCTGCCCAAGGCCCACCCATGCCAGGGACCACCATCTGCTCCAGGAGCTGTTCCTGGGCCGCTCAGGGGTGACGGGACCACTGTGAGGTCACAAGCAAGCTGAGCTTGGCAAGGGCCGGGCTGTGGCCCCAGCAGAGGGTCCAGGCTCAGGGAGGCAGCTTCCGCCCTCTTCAGGACTGGAGAGGAGCCGCTCCCGCCCACGACCTGACTGCTGGCCCTCTGGCACAGGGACAGGAGGCTGTGAGCGTGGCCGACGGGGCGAAGGGGCAGCTCCTGGTGAGATGCTGCCAGGTGAGAGGCTCCGGCACGGAACGCCCCCACAGTCCCCTACTCCCTCCACAGCTCGAGCAAAGCACAAGCCAAGGGCAGCCAATGAGACGCCAGACAGGGCAGGGCCAGCTTGGACGGGACACAGGGCCTGTTGGGCCCTTCCCAGAAGCCATCACTCTACCCTCACATCCTCCCCATGTGAGGTGGGGACTACTGTTGTCCCATGTCACAGAGGGGGAAAGTGGCCTCAAGAGGAGTTATCACCCTCAGGGGCACAGGGACTTTGGAATGGCCTCATCCAGCCTCTGGCCTGCTGCGGGAAGCTCTGTGGCCTCTGGCAGGTGGCTGCCCGGTCCTGCTTGCATACCTCTAGAGTGGGGAGCTCACTCCTTCTCGCCAGGCAGGCCCTGCTGTGCCTGAGAAGCTCAGACTGTAGCCAAGGCCCAGGCCCCCACTCCTTGCCCTTCCTCTGGGTCTCCTTCCCTCCTGCCTTGGGGCTTCCATCCATGGCCTCTCCTCTGCTTGCACAGCCGCCCCTTTGCGTGGCTAATGATACTCTGCAGGTCTTGGCTTGAACATCGCCTCCTCCAGGAAGCCTTTTCTGCCCCTCAGCAGTTGTGGGCCTGCCCTTTCCACACCTCACCGCAGGGGGACTTTGTCATGCCCCTACCCCAGGCAGAACCATCAGCGCTAAAGAAGCGGATAGACCTGCTCCGCACACGGGACGCTCTGCGGGCAGAGCCAAGTCCAGCTCATTCGTCTCTGCATCCCCAGTACCCATCAGGGTGCCTGCAGCACGGAGGCTGCTCGAGGGCTGCTTGTGGAACAGAAGAAGAGAACAGAGAAGGGCTGACGTGACAGCCTCACAACATACCCCACAGGAGAATGTCTGCAGAGCAGAGGGCGCAGGCCCTCAAACAGCCCCCGAGGGAGGGACTACCATTGCCTCCCTTCTGCAGAGGAACCTGAGGCTCAGAGAGAGTCAGTGACTTATCCAAGGTCACACAGCTTAAGAGTGCTGAAGTCTAGGTTTGAGGGCAGCAGTCGTCCCCAAAGCCTGTGCCTGTCCCCCCTTGCACCATGTGGCCTTCTCGTGAAGGAAGGGTCTTCTCCTGGCCCAGAGAGCCCACCCCCCACCATCTGCTGAGCTCTGCCCCACCCCAGCCCAACAGCTCCTCATCCCGCCAAGCCCTTCTGTGACTCCAGATGGGCTCCATGCACCTGCCTTCCATTCTAGCCATTTCCCACAACCACTGGGAGCACGGGAAGGAAGGCAATCCACGGGCGTCCCAGTGGGGGAGGAGACGGGCTGTGTCTGCTTCTGGCCTAGGGGAGTGCAGTGGATTGAATGATGGCCCCCAAAAAGGTATGCCCACATTCTAACCCCCAGGACCTGTGACTGTGACCTTCTTTGGAAAAAAGGTCTTTGCAGAAGTGTTTAAGTTAAGGATCTCCAGATGAGAGCATCCTGGATTACCCAGGTGGGCCATAAACCCGGTAACACATAAGAGACAGAAGAGGAGAGATGCACCCAGAGAGAAGGCCCGGTGAAGGAGGAGGCAGAGATGGGAGCGATGCAGACACAGCCAAGGAACCCCGCGGTCACCAGAAGCTGGAAGGGACAAGGAAGGATTCTCCCCCCAAGACACCAGAGGCCCTCTGACACCTGGATGTCAGACTTTTAGAGAGTGGGGGAGGGGCTCACTCAAGGAAAGACTACTGCCTTCTACCTGGAGCAAGAGGAAGGCGCTGAGGAGGAACGAGACAGAGGAGGGGTCCATGGAGGCAGCCCCCGCACTCTGAAGCCCCTGAGGGGGAGGGCCACCACAGGGAGGGGAGAGAGGCAGGTGGACTCGGCTCGAATGCAGAGGGGCAGGTGCAGCCAGGGCCTTACTTGGGGGGGGGGGGTGGTACTCATCCTCCTGGGGCCGCACAGGCATAATGCGCTCCAGGTTCCATGGGGTGCTCTGGGCAAAGACGAAGGAGTCCTCCTCGATGTACTGGACGTGGGGCAGCCTCAGGGCCTCTAGAAGCCAGATGCCGGCTCTGCTTCAAAAGCCATTTGGCCAACAGCAAACACAACCACAGCCCTTGCCCCACCTGATCAAACCTGTCCCGAGTCACACCCCACACCCTCCCAGCTGTCCCAGCGGGTCTCCTCCTGGCGCCGGGGTGTCCTCACTCCAGCAGGCTGCTGGGCCCGGCGCTCCGACATCTCAGCAGCCGAGCCCCACACAGCACGCCCGGCGCGGAGGGTCCTTTAAGGAAGGATTCTGAACTCGACGTGTCATCTGGGGAGCCAGGCAGTGCCCAGGCCCTGGGCAGGCTGGACCTGGACTCCAGCCCACTAACGGCACTGGTCATCCTGCGTGCCCCCAGATCCACTCCCCACCCTCTCCGCCCACCCTGCGCTGGGCAGCCGACCCTGCGACCAGCAGCACCCAGCACCCTGCGGCGGCTTCTGGCTGGGCTCAGCCTGGGGAAGGCACCAGCAGGAGTCTGGGGATAAGCGGGCGTCTTCTGCACCCCCTCCCCTCAGGGCAGGGCTGCCAGTGGCTTTGATCTCCGGTGACCACAGCTCCCCCTAGCAGCCCATCCTCCAGGCCGCCAACTCCCGCCTGCAGAGGCAACACTCTTTCCTCTTCCCACCCTTCCGACCCAGAGGCTACAACAGCTGGCCACCGCACCACACACTAAGGGCACTCCCCAGTACATCTGCGGTGGCCCCACACTCTGGGTGCCTCGGTCTCCCAGGAGGCTCCCTAACCTGCCCATATCTTCTTTCTGTGCTCAGCATCTGCTTAAACACCTCGCAATCACACTTATCCGCATGAGACCATTCCCATCATCCCGTGGACCTACGGGCCGGGGACTGAGACCCAGCACGGAAGGGACCAGCCCCCTGCTACACAGACAGGAAGAGCCGAGCTGGGATCGACCTCAGGCTGCTGCAACACCAGAGCCGGCTCGGCTCTCGATGGCAGGCGTGCATCCGCGGCTCAGCCCCGCCCCTCTGGGAAGCCACCCTGCATGCCCTGGGGGCCGTGCCCACCCTCTGGTGCTCTGGGAGCACCTTATCCCTTCCTCCCCCGTGCCTAGCACAGCACAGCCCAGTTGACTGTACTGGCCACCACGTCAGGCTCTCCTTCTGAAATGGGAGCTCGAGGGCAGGCCTGAGGCTGGCCAGCACACAATAGGTGCTTAACGTGTGTTGAGAAGGCTGGTTGAAGGCATTTACTTGCCTGTCACCCCTAATAGACTAAGGAACCCCAAGAGCAGGGACCTTGTCCAATCCATGTCACTGCCCCCCCAGGACTTGGCACAAAGCAGCGCGGACCCGCAGTACGGAGACCTGAACTGACCCGGGCAGCAGGGGAGCAGCCGAACAAAGAGACCTGGGTCCAAACGCCAGCTCTGCCACTCGCAGGTCATGTGACCTTGGGCAAGAGCCTGTCCCACTCTGGGTCTCTGTTTGCAGGAAGCTGTGACACACCCCAGCCCAGTAGAGAATCCATGTGACAACGGAACCGTGTGTTCTCACCCAGTTAGGAGAATAGGGGAGCAACGGGGCTGGGCACAGGGGCAGAGGCTAAACCAAGAAAGGCCTTTAAGATTTGCATGTGAGGCGCTAGGACAAGGGAGAGGCATGGGAAGGCCACAAGTCCTCGGCTGCCCAGGCCCCCCTCTGTCCCTCGGCCAAAGGGGTGACATGGGGGCCAAGCTGGAGGGGAAGAGCCTGCCTGTCCTACGGGAGGACCCTTACAGTGAATAGCGCCAGCTTCACAGGAACTTGGCTCTTCAGTCACGCTGTTGTAAAATGACTCAGGCCCCACTAACGTCCCAGGGCCTTGTCCCACAGGCAGCAGGTGCATCAGCACAAGGACGGCTAGCAGGCAGGCCATGAGGTTGATCCCAGCTCTGCCCTAGCCGGCTGTGTGGTCCCTTCTGAACCTCGGTCTCCCCATCTTTCAAATGAAGATGGACGTACCACTGGGGTACGGCTAGGCTTAAAAGGCATTCTGTACATACAGCCAGGAGTCACTAGGCTTGGTACCCGGTAAGTGTCAATAAATGTTTGCTGTCACCTGATTTTCAGCAAGGGGCACACTAAGGGCAGTCCCCAGTACGTCTGCGGTGGCCCCACACTCTTGGGAAGTACCACGTGCAGAGCTGGCTCACCAGGTCCAGCGGGTCACTGCTCATCTTCACCAGGAAGCCGGGGAAGAGCCCGTGGAAGACGTGCAGGATCTCGGCGCAGTAGCCCTGATGGGCGGCTCGGGCCTGCAGGCAGCGGGCAGTGCGCTCTGGCTGCGAGTGCGGGGTCTCCTCCCTCAGCACCACCACGTAGGTGCCTGGCAGCCTCCAGGCATCCTGGCCCCGAGGAGTGATACACGACGTTCAAAAAGAACCGTAATAACGCCACAAGAGCTCTACTCGCCTCTGCGTACAAAGCAAAATTAGAGCAAAGGGAGCACAGGCGAGTGCAGAGCCGGAAAGAGAAGCCACCAAACCAGCACTAAGACACATTGACCCCGCGCAGACCAACTATCAGTGTTCACACACTTCCTACATCACTCTCGAATTTGCGGTCAGGCAGAAACGGGAATGCGGGCTAGACTCCACCACAGGTGCTCCTCCGCACCTGCCCCAGCTCCCTGTGCGCCCACCAAGGCCTGTCCACACTTGGAGGCCCTGCCTGGGGCCTTCCTAGCTCCCCAGTCAGAATAAATCCCTTCCTCCCCATTCTAGTGCATCCATGACCCTTCTGCGGCAGCCCCCAAAATGTGGACCTGAATAGTTACTGGCTGAGTGGCCATGGGCAAGTCACTCAACCTCTCTGAGCCTCAGATATCTCCTCTGTATTGTAGGGACCGCAATACCAACGGAACAGGCCCACCAGGAGGCTGAGAGGCGTCTGTGGAAAGCAAATGCAAAGAGACGCTCTGCAAATGCAAAGGGACCGGCTGATGGAGTGAGCAAGGGTGGGCGGCCCTCACCCGGGAGGGAAGGCTCCAGGCCGCCGTCGCAGGAGCAGACTGTGCACTCGGCTCTCACCTGTGCCTGCTGCTCTCAGACCTAGACGCCTGCTCAAGAGCCCCCACTGGCCCCTGGAGCCCGACAGCTGGAGTCCATGCTCCCGGCGCCTCCCGGGTCCCCACGGCCTCCACCTCTGCAGCCTCATCTCCGTCCGGGCACCGTGGACTTCACCCCAAGGAGGAGAGAGGCCACAGCCTCTACCCAAAGTCTTAGGGTCAAATGGGTGTCCAGAGTCATCCTGATTTGGATTTCAGGAAGGGCAGTCAGAGTGCCAAAGGGAGTCTGGAGCAGCAAACTGTAATCTATGCATTGAAATGTACGAACATGAGTATTCACAAAGGTAGGATAAATCATGAATAACCTCATGCCGGTTCAGGTCAGGTCACCACCAAATAAACTACAAAAAACCTTTTGGTTTTTGGAACATTCAGAAGGCGGCTAAGGGACTGTGGACATGTGCTCCCCATTCTCTACCTCTGGCTTTCCCAGCTCTGTGCTTTTGTTCACGCTACCCTCTCCCCTAGAATAAAATTCCCCTGCCACCTTCATCTGTTAAACTCCTAATTATGCTTCAAAGGCCCATCTAAAATGCCCTCCGCTAAATGAAAATCTAGTGAATTGAGAGGGCACTCTGTGCAGTGGAAGGAGAGTTCTCCTGGAAGCCGAGTTCTAATGCACCAAGGGGGTGAACCTCCTCTCTCGGGGCCTCAGTTTCTCCTGAGGAAAATAAAAGGATTGGTGTAAAATCCTTCTCTGCCTGCCGAAAATATTTTCATTCTAAATTCAAGTCCCACAAAATAGCCATTGAAAGAACGAATAAATGAACTTCAGAGGTTCCTGTTCCAAAGGTCCACCAGAGGACAAGCAGCCGCAAGCGCTCATTCAGGAGGTTGTCCCTCCTCTGCTTGCTCACTTCTGGGGGGGTCGGGGAGACTCACGACTTCTAGAACAGATATTTTGGGGAATGCCCTTATCCTTGCCACAACCCAGCGACATCCTTCTAGAAGGTGAAGGGCTGGGGAACAGCAAGAGGGCGCTCTGACCAGTGAACTTCCCTCTCCTATGTGAGCCAGACAAGAGGGCCCCCCTGCCCGGCGCTGACTCCCACCGGGCCGGGTGCTGGCCCTCGCAGCCGCCGGAGCCCCGGGAAGGGCGGAGCCGGAGGGCACGTCAGCCGGGGGCCGGGGGCCGGGGGCCGGGGGCCCCGCCCACCCTCGGCGCGCCAGCCGCTGGAGCCCGGACGCCCCTCCCCGGCCCAAGCCCCAGGGACCCCGGCCGCGCCTCGGGAATAACTCGGCCTCTTCCACTTCAGTTTTGTTTTTTTCAGCTGAAAAAACTACAATACTAGAATATGAGGTCTGTGGCTTGAAGAAATTGCCCCCCGCCCCTATCTTTCGGGGTCTCTCCCGCCCCACCCCTGTCTGGACAATGCCCGCTCTCTCCAAGACCCCCACCCCCGCGCCCCCACGCACTCCCCGCCACGCACACCCGCCGCTGCCCAGATTCCCCGAAGCGCGTCAGGACCATAACAATAGCGAGCCTGTTCCCTCGTTCCGGTGCTGTTCCAAGCGCTTTCCAGGCATCAACGCCCTGACCCGCGGGAGCCGGCGGTGCGGAACTTCTGACACCCGCGGCGGTCCGGGCAGCGCTCTGCTCGCCCTGTCCCGCGCCTCGGGTCGCTCACCCGCGCGCACCTCCCCGCCGCCCGGCGCGGCCGCGCGCCCCAGCGCAGCCCCGGACAGCCGCCGTCCCCGACCCCCACCGTCCCGCCTGCAGGCCCCAGGATCCGCGCCAACCCGTCGCCGGGTGTGCAGAGGACCCTCGGAGACCTTCACTCCTGCCTCTGCCTTACATGGGGGAAACTGAGGCCGGAGAAGAGACGTCAACCGCATGGGTCCCCGCGGCGGGTTCGCCGCCGCCTCCCACCCCGGCGCCGTACCTTGGCGCAGCGGCGGAAGGTGGCAGTGGCCACCTACTGGGCCGCGTGGGCCGGGCCGTCCTCCTCGGACCGCAGGGCCAGCACCAGCTCCTCGTAGTCGCCGTCGTCGGGGTCGTGCGCGCGGGCGCCCGCGGAGCCCAAGAGCAGCAGCAGCAGCGGCCACCACGTGCCCATCGCGGGGGGAAGAGAGGTGTGCGTTCTGGCAGGGGAACCCAGGAGCAGCGCGCCGTGCACGCCGGCCGCGCCCTGCGCCCTGCAGTCTGGGGCACCGTGCGTTCGCGGGAGCTTGAGACCCGGCGGGGACAAGCGCACGAAGGCGCCGTCTCACTGCCTGGGTCGCTCCTCCGGGCTGGACCGCGAGCTGAGCGGCGCTGCGCGCTCTGCAGCCGCGTGCGCCTCGACGCCCCGGCGGAATGCTTTTAGGGTGTGGGGGCGCGACGCCCAGGGCCGGCGAGATCACGCCACCCGAGCCCCATCGGACTACCTGATTAAACATTAACGGAGCCCCCGGCCTGAAGCATCGGGTTTCGGCCCCGCTCTCCCCACCAGCGTCAGGTTACGCTCAGAGGGAGGATAAAACAATCCCAAATCCTAATTGGGCTGGAAGGCGGCCCACGCTCCGGAAGCGCCTTCTCTCCGCCCCTCACCCTGAGCCCGGCGTGCGGCGCCGTCTCCCCGCTTGGTTGAGCCCACGTCGTCGGCGTCTCTGGGGTCGGCCTTGTCACTGGCCAGCCACCCCTCTCGCCTCCCCCGAACCATGTCAATCCACTCCATCCGGGCGCCCTGCTCGCCGCCGCCGGTGACCGCAGACTCCTCACTGCCCCCCTTCTCCACTGGGAATTCTCCCCGCTGGCCTCCGCATGGCATCCTTCTAAACTCAGCCCCGAGCCCTCCGGGCTCTGCCCCTGGTGCACTGGGCACACCGACCTCGCCAACTAGCCGTTCCTTGTACATACTGCAGCTTTTACTTCCCAGCCAGCACTAATCTCCTACATGCATTTCTGGGGATTTATTCTACAAAGATTCCCATTGTTTAATCCGCAAAGCTGTCGTATATGCACATTCAAGAATTCCATTGTAGGCGCAAGCTCAGTGTTCCAAGCGATTCTTCTTGCACATTCCTCTTCACACCATGTCCAAGAACGCAATTGGACACGCACCCGCGAACACCCTCTGTGTGCCAGGGGAAGGATGCTGGGACGGAGCAGCGGCCACTCGCGGGTGTGCAGCAACTGCCGCTCCTCCCAGAAGGGCCAGCTGGGAAGGAACAAAGGAGGCCGGACGACCCCACTTTGTGGACACAGAGGGTTCTGAGTGAAGTGACTGACCCTGGCCTGGGGTTCTGGACTCCAGAGTCAGTGCCCTTTCCACCTGCTTGCAAGCGCCTCACTCCAGCAGTCTGATTGAACAAAGACTATGCAACCAGTGGGGTGACATTGACCTCCACGAGGCCAGGGCCTGTCTGCGTGCTACTTCCGTGGAACATCCCACCATCCCTGGCACCCACCATCCCTGGCACGGAGTGGGAGCTCGTTAGCTGTTTGCTAACGTTAGCTCCTGGCTCTCCACAGGCAGCGGAAGCTTCCTTCCTGTCCCAGGGAAGGGAGCTATATCTGAACTGTGCTCCAGCAGCCTCCTCTCACGGCCTCCTGACAGAGAGGTGCCCGCTCTCCTGGTGCTCCCCTATGGGACACCGGCTTCCCACCCACCAGGGGCTCTTAAATTGTCCCCAGAGGGTGATCAAGCACATGCACAGAGGGACCCCATGTTCCCAGGCGGAGGAAGGGGGCACTGGGAGTGTGCAGTGGGAGTGTTGGATGGACATGGGGGAGCAAGAAAGCCCCGCAGGCACCTCGGGCTCTCTGACAGATGGAACCAGAGGGACAGTCACTTCTCATCACATATCCTCCGCTGCACGCTTTGAGGGGCCAGCCCCAGTTAGGCCTCCTACCACGTGGCAGGGCTTCCGTCCCTTAGTAATTATACACGCATACACACACACACTCAAGTTGCCTGAGGCAGCTGTGTCAGCTTCCTCTTCGCAGATCTGTTGCCTTCGCCCTGGCCGGCTAATAACGGCCTGCTCCCCTGAGAGGTGCAGGGGTCTGGTAAGACAGAAGCCCCCTCTGCTCGTCCCATCCACTCAAGTGCGTTCTGGGCCGACACCCATCCTTTCCTCCTCCTTCCTTTCTTCCTTTTTCAGGACAGAGGGAACCATCCTCCTGTCCAGCGCTGACCCTCCCCTGCCAGAGTCTGGCCTCCTCACAGATCTGCCTCCACTCCCTCCTCTCGCCCTCCTGTCTCCAAACTCCTCGTCTCCTGTCGTTCTTTCCCTTCACCCCGTAAACATTCTCAAGTGTTCCCCACTCTAGAAATGTTCTCCCTCAGAAAATTAAAAATGGAACTACCATATGATCCAGCAATTGCGTTGCTAGGAATCTCTCTGAAGGAAATGAAAACACTCCGTCAAAGAGATATCTGTGCCCCCATGTGCATCGCAGCATTATTTACAACAGCCAAGGCGGGGAAGCAATCTAAGTGCCCGTCGATGGATGAATGGATAAAGAAGATGCGCTGTGTATGTACAATGGAATACTACTCAGCCAGAAAAAAGAAAGAAATCCTTCCATTTGCAACAACATAGCTGGTTCTTGAGGGCATTATGCTAAGTGAAATAAGTCAGAGAAAGACAAATACCGTGTGATCTCTCTTATATGTGGAATCTAAAAAAAAAAAAACCTCATAGAAAAAAGATCAAATATGTGGTTACCACAGGCAGGGGATGGGGTGGAGGAATTGCAGGAAGGGGGTCAAAAGGTACAAACATCTTTTGTAAGGTAAACGAGAGCTGGGGATGTAACGTACAACAAGGTGACTGCAGCCAACGCTACTGTGTGACATATGGGAAAGCTCTTAAGAGAGTAGATCCCAAGAGTGCTCATCACAAGGAAAGAAGCATTTTTTTCTCTTTTTTTAAATATCTGTATGAGAGGATGGATGTTAACTAAACTTATTGTGGTAATCATTTCACAATATGTGTAAGTCAAGTCATTATGCTGTACACCTTAAACTTACATAGTGCTGGGTATCAATTATATCTCAATTTAAAACTAGAAAGAAAAAAATTAAAACTAGAAAGAAAAAAATGCCCCCTCTCAAAATGGCCTTCCCCCCCCCCTTGACTTGCATGCACAGCCTGAACAGCAGAGGGAATTCACGACTTAGGCTCTCTGTCCCCTCCAACCTCAGATACTTGGAGTCTGCAGCCGCTGTTGGCGTGGGTATAAATTAAGGCGATTTAACAGCATCAACGTTTTGAACGTGCACACTCTCTTTTGGGAGGGGGCCGTCCTTTTATGTCTATGTTCAATAAAGAAACTTTTTACAGGAAAATGTTGTTTTAAATGTGAGTAGTTCAAAAGAATATACAGTGAAAAGTTCATCCCCTCCCCCTCCTGGCCCCCCTTCCTGGGGCAACGTCCAACACCCGTGGTAGTGGGTTGAATAGTGTCCCCCCAGGATATGCCAGCCCTCACCCCTGGTGCCTGTGACTGGGCCCTTGTTTGGAAACAAGGCCTCTGCCAATGTAATTAAGCTGAGGGTCTCGTGATGAGGTCATAAGAGAGAAGAGAGGGAGATTTAAGACGCAGAGGGACACAGGCAAGAGGGCCATATGAAGACAAAGGCACAGGTTGGAGTGACGCTGCCATAAACCAAGGAGAGCCGGGAGCCACCAGGCCGAGAGGAGGCCGGGAGAGATGCTCCCCCAGAGGCTTCAGGGGAGCACGCCGCCCACACCTCGATTCCAGACTTCCGGCTTCCAGGACAGGGAGAGAATGAGTTTCTGCATTTTCAGCCAACAAGTTTGTGGTTGGTAATTCATTACAGCATCTGAGGGGACTAATATACCCATTTATTGGGTATCTTTTCAGAGATATTCTATTTTTATAAATAGATTTTTAACATGTATGTTATGATTTTTTTTTAAATTTATATTGGTGGGTGGAGGTGGGAGGGGCGCCTTAATCTTTTGAGATGCCCGGGCGCTACCATCTTACTCCAGCCCAGCCCTGAGGTTAAGACTTCCTAGGCGCATCTACATCTGCTCCATCATTTCTCTGGTTGCAGGTCATTCGGTTCTGTGTACGGTCCAGTCTCCAATGACCGGGTGTAGGTTGTTTGCTGTTTTTGCCGTTACAGACAAATCGGCACTGCCCATCCTCATCCACGCCTCTCTGCACGTGTGTGAGCATGTCTGTTTCGTAGATTCCTAGAAGAGGAATTTCTACACAAAAGGCACGTGAACATTTAATGTTGATACCGTCCCACCAGCCCTGCTGGGGACTCAGTCAGAACAGGTCGGTTCTGCTCCAGTCACGCACAATTCTGGAATCTTAAAGTGGAGCTTGAAATGACAAAGGCTTATTTCTCTCACACCACGTGCCCCCCGCAGGCTTTGTTCCCCCGTGCTGCTGCCTCACCCCAGACCCGGCCTGAAGAAGCCACCACCACGGGGAACGTTGCTGGACGCCGAGGCAGGAGGAAAGCGGAAGTGGGGAATGGCAGCGGCTTCCTCCAGAGGTGACCCACACCCCCACCACGCACACTGCACTCTCCAAGGCACGTCACATGCTCACACCTAAGTTCCGGGGTGGGATCGTGCAGTCACACCTGTGCCCAAAAGGAGGACAATGGGAACCACTCCAGCCACGCCCAGGCCAACACAGAGTTGTCAAACGTTTTGAGGTCATATGTTAAAAACTGTGTACACTTGTTCATCTTTGGACGTTATCTTCAGGTCCTTTGCCTATTTTTTTCAGTGTGGCCATGGGTCTTTTGTTTAATGATTTGTAATCACTTCCTACATATGTTATCAAATTACCCTGTTGTCTGTCATGCAGGCTGCAGATCTTTTTTTCTGGTTTGTTAACTGACTTTTGACTTTATGGTATTTTATTCCATAAAAACTTTTAATTTCCATGGAGTCAAATTTATCAGTCTTTTATTTAATGACTTCTGGGTTTTGTGCTTTGCTTAGAAAGGCCTCCCCTTTATCAAAATAATCTAAAAAGTCTGCTTTTTTTTTTAACATTTAAATCTTGGCTTCGGCCAGAATTTGCATTTGTATAAGAAGTGAGGCTGTTTTTTCCAGATGGCGCACCCATTGCTCCAGTCCCATTTCTTCAATAGCCCACCTTTTCTCTACTGATTGAAATGACATCTCATCAGCCAGTGAATTCCCTTGGGCTTTGGGTCCATTTTGGGCTCTGTTTCACTCTTTTAATGTCTCTACCTGATACCAAATTGTTCAAAATGTGCATACATTCTGACCTAGCACGTTTATTTCTAGGAATTCATCCAAGGAAATAGACAAGTGGACAAAGAGGTTCTATTGACAC